GGGTCGTCTTATACGCCCAGTCATCTTATACGCCGGCAAATACGGTATTAAAAACCTGAAAAACAACTCAGATATTTGAGAATAATCATTTTATCAAATAAAACAAAGAGGAAATATGAACATAAGCAGAAACATTGTGATGCCTTAAAGACTGGAAATTTATTCAGGGATTGAAATCCACTTCAGCAATCCTGATCTGTTTTTGCTTACATCCATCTAAACCACAGCCTGACTTTTACTTTGCTTTTAAATGCTGTTCTCCCAGACAGCAGGTTATGAGGACAGGAAGCTTCCTTATTCTGTGTCAGATAATTGGTCTGTTCACAGAAAGACATAGCAATATGTGGCCGCAGGACACAGTTGGCCCAACAGGGATTTTTTCATGTCCTAAGAGCCCCTCATCTTAAATCAAACCAAATAGAACTAAACAAAGAGATCAAAAAAACACTGTTTCTACTTCCAGAGGCCTCCAGAACCAGTAGTTTTTACACTAGGGGCTCTGGAGAACTCTCCAAGCCTAATCCTCAAAATGAAACCTGAAGTGTTCAGACAGGCGCGTCTCTTAAAATAAAAATAAAGGCTGCAAACAGCCATTCCTGGGATTGGTGCAAAACCCAATGGGGGATGTGGGCAATAATTTAATCCACTCCTGAACTAGACCAATATTGTCAACTCTAGCTGGCAGCAGCTCTGGAGGGTTTCAGAAAAGGATCCCTTCCCAGCCCTACCTGGAGATCCTTTGTGGCCAACAATCAAAACTCTAACGAGGTCCTAACCTACTTAACTTGTAAAATCAGATGAGATCTGATTTGTTGAGGGCAGTAGAGTGGCACCACTTGATTATAGATTAATTAAGATGTTAACTCATTTCTAACTTACACAAATTAACATCTACCAGCACAGCCTAATGATGAAGTAGTTAAACTGCAGTACTGCAGCCAAAACACTGCTCATGACCCAGGTTCAAAACCAGGTAGCTGGCTCAAGGTTCACTTAGCCTTCCATCTTTCCAAAGTTGGTAAACTGAATACCCAGCTTGCACAGGGGAGGGGGTGCAATATGTAGCCTGCATAATTATATTGTAAACCATCCAGAAAGTGCTTGAAGTATATAAGCAGCATGCTTTGCTTTTTCAAAAAACAAACAAATGTAGATAATCATACCAGACTCCTTCGATGAACTAACACAAAGTTTTTGCCATTCAGGATGAATATCCTGAATGCTAGAATAAATGAATGTAAGAATCTGACTCATTCTAAATCAGATTTTTAGTCCATATAGGCCAGTATTATGAACACTTGCTATGATCAATGATTCTCTGGAGTTTCAGGCAAGACCCCTTCCTAAACCTCCGTGGAGATCCCTAGTAATATGTAATGATTCCTCATCTCAGTATACTAGGAAGGGCTGACTCCACTTAGCTTCCAAAATCAGTCTAGGTCAGTTTGTTCATGGTGGCATGTGATCATGCGATCACCTTTGAATTTGGTTTTCTAATCAACTGTCTGATCTCCCTTGCCACTCTTCATCTGCCATTCTCAATACAACTCATAATATCATCAACATTTCTTTTTTCCTCCTTGCATGTCTCTGTCTGGTCCAGTCTCTCTATTTGCATAGTGCTCGTGTTTTCCCTTTTTGCACACAACCCCTCTTTCCCTCTCTCTCTGCTACCACTGCCCCTATTTTTTTCTCTCTCTCTCTCTTTCCACATCTACTTCTCCTGCCAGCCTTCCACAGTTGCACAGGACAATGTCTGAAGGTCTTCAAAGGCTCTACACTTGTTAAGACTGCAAATATGAAGAAAAATTGTGAACAAAGCTGTGAATCATTTCAAATTCCTTGACGCCAGAATGAAATTTCAAGAAGCCAGAGTTAAATCCCAACCCATCAAATCCCCCTATCTTAAAATATGACACTCACTTTGGGATGGTAGAAAGGGCATTCCATTTTCTTGCAAGCAGGGAAAAAACGGCAAAGCTGGCTAGTAGAAGGTGCTGGTGGTACTGGTGGCGGAGCTAGTGAACAGACAGGAATAAATCATCCACACCAAGCTCAAAAGGTTAATGCTTAATATAATATTGCCAACAAACACAGACAATCAATGTTAGCTCCTGGACTAGCAACACATACCTGCCTGTGGGAACCACATCTGAAACCAGGCCAGGCAGCACTCTTGCTGAATCTAAGAGGCAGTGTCTGGATGGGAGATAGTGTGGAAACCCTCCCATGGCTGCTAATATTATAATTCAGGCCAGACATAATTATGCATGTATGATATTAAAAAGGAATGGAAACGTCACCTGGTTTCGGAGGTGGCAGTGGGGTCCGTCGGCTGGCATGAGTGTACGGGCAGTCTGGCTTGGTGCACTTTGCATCGTATTTACAGTTTGGATGGATGAACAAGCACTTGTCAGCAAATTTGCAGTTGGGAAAGATTCTGCAGTGTAAAAAGGATCCTTGTTAGAAGACAAATACCTTTAAAACAATGCCTACATTTAGAAAGTTATTTTGGTTTTGACCACAGTTCTATACAGATAATGACATTTGGGTTCTTGGGCTAGCATTTGGAAAGACAACAACATTCCTTTTGGGTTTTCATTTAAAAAAAAGCTTTCCATATTCAAACTCATGGATGGACATCAATCCTCAAAAAGCATCCATGATTCCTTTGACTTGTATTCCTGCATCGAGCACAAGGGTGGACTTGATGGCCTTATAGGCCCCTTCCAACTTCACTATTCTATGATTCATAGTCATGCCAAAAATCTCTCCACCAGTTAAACCTCCGAACACCCTCCCCCTGGACACAGAAATGTCCAACCAAGTCCTCTGGTTTCCCCATTCCCCACCCCATGGAGAGAGATGCTTCTCAGTTGCTACTAATAGTGATAAAAGAGCCATCCCAGCAATATGTGGATTAGGTGGGGGAAAGGCATAAGATCTCTCCCATCTCCACCTCTCAGTGATTTCACTTATGATCGTTGCTCCTGGCTGTTTAAAATGCAGTACCAGAGCAGCAGTCTTTCCCCCGTTACCCAGCTGGGCAAGAAAGGGAAGAAGGTGGACTGTTTTCCTCTTCAGTGATAATCCTAAAGAGTATTTAATGATGTGTCTGAAGACTAGGATAGCAAACTCTCAAGCTACATTGAAAAGGTTTGTTGCACTAACTTGCATGGCAGGGTGGGATGATGGAAGGCACATTCATCTCCATTTTTGCAGGCGGGCCAGTACTTGCAGCGCTCGGGTACTTTTTCCACTTTGTGCAGGATGCCCACCTCCTGCATCTCTACTGTGGAGAGAAATGGGAATGATGTCTTTAAGCAATCCAGTTTGAATTTGAGACGACTGATAGCACAAGGACCCTGAAATACACTGAAATGAGGCAGAATGCAGCCCACAGTGACCAACCTTTGGCTCACCTACATTCAAAGAGGATTTTGTTTAAAAGCAGTAACACACACACAGAGGGGTTGCACCGGCATAACAATAAAGAGTATTATGAGGATCTAAAGCACATTTTCATTACAATGTTTTCACTTCCCAAACAGCATAAAACCTAACCTTGAATCTATTACTAATGAAAGACATTGGGAAGAAATTCAAAACTGTACCCACCTCACTCCCCCAAATTAAAAACAAAACAAAACAGAACCTCTACCACTCTTTTAAAGACCCCAAATCCGCCGCTAAGTGTGGCCACTGTAAATGATGCAACTCCTAAAAACTCACATCATCCCATTATCCTTCCTAGAGGTTTTGTGATGTCCAGGGTATCCAAACATCACTTACGCCCCACTTTTCTGCCCAACAACAAGCCTCCTTAAAATGAAAGAAAAACCAGCATACAATGAACATAAGTTTATAAATAAATAAATATAAGCAAGCATATATTTAACTGAGAAAGAAGAAATGACAAAGAGCGCCTTCAAGACTAACACATTTTATTTAACAGAAACATTTGTCGACTACAGCCGGCTGCAACAAGCCCACCATGCAGTTTAAGGAGGCAGATTTTTACACTGGCTGTGCATCTGCTAAAATGGGCTGTGACTCGCACAAGCTGTTGCCAAACAAAACATATTGGTTTTTAAGGCCCACAAGATTCTGTCATTTTTGCTGCAAATGAGTGACATGGCAATACCAGGCACCCCCTCCAGAAATGAGAAAAGATTCCAACGCCCTGCAACCCAGCCTCATGCTTCATCTGAGCAGCCCAAAGAAAGTGAGGCAAACAACTGATGTGCTGGAATGAAGATGACTGAAAGAGCATCTCTACAGAAAACAGGTTTGCATGTGTGTTACCATCAGTGCTCTCCAGCTGTCTGGAAATAATGTGCATCTGTTGGGCACGGAGGCTCCGTAATCCCTTGCTGGTTGTCGCCCTGGGAAGAACTGGCCTAACTCCTTCCATAAGATTTTGCTCTTCCTCCTCTTGGTCAGACAGGTACCCTGGAGGGCTGGGAACTCCATCTAATGTGACTATGAACTTGGGACTGGCAGGCTTCTCCGGGTGCCCAAGCTGCTCTCTGCAATAAATAAATAAAAAAATAAAATAAAAAATAAAAATAAAAAAACAGGAAATGTCAAAGTTACTGGAATAACAAGCAGAAAAAAAGCACTAATCGATGCCAATAACACTACACAAACAGACATACATCCCATTAGGAGATGCTTCAGAGGCTTAAACTCTGCCAACTGGGCAAGACAGTACTCTGCATTTAGAAACTGACAGCATGTTATTTGCTCACAGGTATCCATCTGGAGCTCTTTGCTTCTCCGGGCAATCAGATCTGCAAATGAAGCCCATGTTTATCTCCCAATGACAAATCACAGAACACAGCAAGCTAAAATGTGGGACATGAGATCAAGAAGCTCATGCTATTACAAAGAAGGCTTCTCTCAATAATCTAGGGAGCTCCACTTCTGAATGCAAACTAATTGTCTGCAATGAGGTCTACAGGCACCCCATGCCCTGATATATTTGTTAGTCTTTAACATGCCACAGAACTCTGTTGTTTTCAGATATAAGCAGGCAAGTTAGCTCTGGCTTTCAACCCTTTCACTGAATGTAAAGGAATAACTTTTGTTTTTTACCGTGTCTGTATCAGCCGTCCAGAAAGTGCTTGCAATGCCTCTGTGGACTTGTGCCCCACTTCCACGTTCTGGGGCACCAGGATCTCCTCAGACAGCTTTGGCTTCTTCAAGATAAATGATCTGGTGTCTGTGTGGACCATGGATTCCAAACTAAAATATTCTAAACCAGAGAAAATGGCAAATGTGTTGAAAGCATTTTGAGCTAACCAAAAAAACACAAAAAAACAAAAAAAAAACCACGAAAACAAAGGTGTGGTTATTTGATAAAGATTAGGACAGACAGAGATTATGCCCAGGTGAGTATCAAATGGTAACATATGAAGATGCCTGCTCAGAGTTGGTTCTGGTTTGCTCTTAAAGCACTAGGTGGCAGTATATGCTACACAATAATCTATGTTCAGGTTACATGTTAACAAAACACAGAAGCATGGATGTCTAAGGATGGTTCCCAAACTTCGGACCTCAGATGATCTCCAACTACAACTCCCAGAATTCCTAGCTGTTGGCTATGCTGACTAGAATTTCTGGGAGTTGTAGTCCAAAAACTACCTGGGCCTCCAGTTTGGGCATCACCAACAGGAAAAAGAGTAGGATTTCTACAAAAACAACCACATCTAACCTTGGGCCTTCTGCAACGTCTCTTCGATGCTTGGTTCAACCTGGAGACGAGAAAAGAGTTGCCTCTGCTGGGTCCCTGAAATGAATGTGGAAGGACAAAGGCTGTTGAATTTGCTGTAGGGGACAAAGTGGTACCCTAGCTTCACACAACCCTTCCTTAACAAAGGATTCTGTTCCTGCAAAGAATCTCCTGCAGTCATCTTCACTTCATTCCTTTGATGGACACAACACTGGTAGATCTCTTTGTCTCTTTCTCTATATGTAGCTGGCAATTGTTTAAAAACTTTTTTTTACCCCTAAATTCCACCTAGCCACAGAATGAAGGGGGATTTTGGCCTACTTTCCTGCTGGTTTTATGCCGTAGGGCCAAGGCAAGCTAAGACAGATTTAAGAGAGAAAGACGTAAATTAACACAAGATAGATACAATCAACAGTGCTCAAGATGGCTAACTAGAACCCTTTAAGAGAGAAAGACATAAATTAACACAGATACAACAGTGCTCAAGATGGCTAACTAGAACCCCTGACTTTATTGGCTACATGTCACTGAATTATAGTTGTGGCAGGGGTGGTGGTTCCTCTAAGCTTTGCTGGTGGTCTTCTCAGAAGCCGATACTATGAGAAATAGAATAAGGTACTACATAAAGAAACTCAGGAAGGCTTTCACAAGTCCTTACATTACCACAATGAAATCAACATGACAACTCATGTTTCTTTATTACGAAAGTATCCTCTTAATAGTCACCACACCATCTTAGATGAGGCATCGTTCAGTCTCGAGAGACTATGGTAACGTGCTCTGTATGGAGGACTTGGAACAGCGTATACTGTGGCTGAGGAGGCCAATTCGAGACTGACAATACAGTCTGTCCCCTGTCCAGCTCCCTGATTTTTCTGCTTTCGTGACTGCCTCTTTTCCTTGGCCTGCTGGACAAGGGTCTCTTCAAATTCAGAGAGGCCATGATACATCGCCTGCCTCCACGCTGAACGCTCAGATGTCATGGTTTCCCATCTGTTGAGGTCCATTCCTAAGGCCTTCAGATCCTGCTTGCAAGTATCCTTGTATCGCAGCTGGGGTCTCCCTCTGGGGCGCTTTCCCTGCACTAATTCTCCATACAGGAGAATTAGTCATTCTCACAACATGCCCAAGCCAACACAGACATTGCTCTTTCAGTAATGTATACATGCTAAAAATTCCAGCTCGATCTAGGACTACTCTGTTTGGAACTTTGTCCTGCCAGGTGATACCAAAAATGCATTGGAGACCACACCATCTAGCCCTACACAATCTCATTTGATTTTGGAAGCTAACCATAGTCCGATAACAAGTTTTTATCATGAAATAATACCAGTAGTCTGACTCAGTGTAAGGCATCTACCACCTCTTCTAGCATATGAATATTGTGAAACGTACTGAAATAAATATCCTATCACTTTCTCCACAATAAGAGGAAGAATACACAAGAAACAGAGTTTTACTATGTTCGGAATCTTTCTCAACAGGTCACATCAGAGAAAGATACAGAACTTCACATGTCCACCAGTTTTTGTAGAGGACAACAGGGCCTCACATTTCACAGTACCTGGTACTCTTCCTAGCAGTTGCTCATGTGGCTCTTCTTCCTGGGGGTTCATTCTGGATAAACGGTTCTGCCCATGAATAACTTCCAGGAGAGCTTCTTCATGAGAAGTCCGGGTTCTGGGAGCCACAGGAACTGTCTGTTTTGCTGGGACTTTTTTTTTTTGGTAAAACAAAAGAACCCGTCAAATGCATTATGCAAGGAGCAACACAATATTGATGCTTTACGCAAATACAAATGGAATTCTATTACAACAGATCCAAATTAGAATCACAGAAAGCTTGGCTTTCAAGCTACCTTCTGGATCTTCCAATTAAAAAGGTCAGAGATGCAACTTCTTCTCAGCAGTGCAAACCTAAGCACATTTAGAAAGGATTTAGCTCCAGAGTTAATTTGGACTGACATCTGAGAAAACATGCTTAAGACCATGCTGCTACCACAGAACATAGTCTCTCTCTCGCGCGCGCGCGCAATAACAATCTCATAATTCTAAGGAAGAGAACTGAGAAAATTAAAAAAAGGAACTTATTCAGCTTCTAAATTAATCTGCTTAAGTTCATTCAGAAGAAATTTGTCTTCATTAATATGGACAAAGTGGTTTGTCAGCTGCCTAGCAGTTCTAACATGAGCGCAGAAATGAGAACCAACCTTGTTGTACTACTATTGCCTCTGGGCAGTTTCAGACCCCCACTAATACACTTGCAGCCTCTGGGGAAGGTGGCCTTTTTTGGCTCGAACCAATGAACGTGTCCACTAGCAAAACCTGAGACCTAGGTTGGGCTACTGATATTCTGCACATGAACATCTATGGTTCATTTTATCTATATAACGTATTTTTTATCTTCCTGGTCATTGACCATAATAAATAAAAAACGATTTCAACATTGTTTTATGTTTTTCTGACTGCAGGAGATTCTTTGCACTTCAGTAAAAGTGATAGAGAACTCTGCTGGAGATTTCTAACCCCTACAGTTTCTAGCATTTCTGGGGAAAGGAAGCAAAGCAAAGCATGCTGCTTATATACCGCCCCACAGAGTGTAAAGTGTTCTCTGGCTTACAGTTTAGTTTTGCAGCTTACACATTGCCCCTCCTCCTCCAGCTAGCTGGGTACTACATGTGCCAACCTTGGAAGGACAGAAGGCTGAGGCAACCTTGAGCCGGATACCTGAGGTGGTCAGGACTGAATTCAGGTCATGAGCAGAGTGTTGACTGCAGTATTACAGTTTAAACACTGAGCCACAAGGTTCCTTAATGCATGTTAAATCAGGATTATGCTGCAATCTATACAACACAATTGACCAATTTCGCCATAAATGTCAGACTGTGCTATTAGGCTCTGATAGAGGCACGTCCCAAGATGGTTCTTGGGAGATCTTCTATAACAGGTGGGACTTGCTTTCTTGTTTGGTGCTAACTAAGAAGCAAATTTGTGATTTGCTCTCACTTATCCTTTTGCAGTGCAAAACGATCCATGTGGAAATTTTCTTGAGTGTCAAACCCAAACACATTTTTTTAACGGCTACCCAACGATAAGTCTTCTGCAGCAAAATTATGAGTTCTGCAGGCTCTTACAAATTACCAAATGTATTATGACAGAAGTCTTACAGGGATTAAAGACAACATCAGATATAACCAGCATTATTTTACACAAAGGGCAAAATCCGGTTGGCATAATTTATGCAATGAAGCTGATGACACCAAAAAGAGTTTTGCCAATAAATGCAAGGAGCAGTAATTACAACACAAGCAACCTGATGTTGTTATATTACCGTATTTTTCGCTCCAAGACGCACCAAATTTTTAGGAGAAGAAAACAGGAAAAAAATAATTTGTTTTCTTCTCCTAAAAATTGGTGAGCCTTATGGAGAGGTCC